TTCTCATAAGTCGTTCGTTCTTTCCGTTGTTTTTCATGGTTCTTCTTCTACCATTTATACTGGCCGCCTTGTAAGCCTATATTGTGCTGAAAAATGGCGTTAATCCCTATTACAACATTATCAACAACATCTACAAGCTGAATTTCTACCATCCTTATCTACCAGTACAAACTGAAATTTTACCACATAACCCAACGATGGCTGATATTGTTCTGAAATCGTTCATTAAATTGCCCAAACGTCTATCAAACACACATGAACTACTCATTAAATAAGGGAGACATATTATTCACGCTGAGCGTTATCTCCAGCAAAATACATATGGTTTGGTAATGAATAACATCTATTTAAATATTTCTGTGTGTTCCTTAACAATGTCAAATATTTTATTTTCATTACCAAATAACATATGATCGAATTCAGAAAAAAATTAATTACAAGACATAATGGCTGTACTCAGTGTATGAAGTCTAAAAGGAACTATGTGCAAAAAGTAAATTTCCCTACCTCTTTCTTCATGTTTCACAGCAAAAACTCTGTTATGGGAAAAATTGTCTTACACTCGCCGAAAATTATTGTAAAATAAAATTTTGTTATGTTCTTTCGCAATACTAAATAAGGGATACAATGTGTACTTGCTTTGTGTATAAGATTATCTACATCAGAGGTTTTTTTTCAGTCTTTCATGAACTATGAAGAGGGAAATGAAGCCTACTTCAAGATATCTTATCATTCTTCGTGTATATTCAACTTTACAAACAACGCAACGTACTTCATAGCAGGTAGCACCTTGTGTCTTCGATATAAATAAAATATATGTACAGTATGTACGCTGTATTAGCGATATGCCAATCGTTGTAAACAAGCATCGTTTCCTTTTAATGAAATATTTATATATCGTGTTGCATGTCATTGACAAACGTACATAATATGTATATATATATATATATATATATATATATATATATATATATATATGTGTGTGTGTGTGTGTGTGTGTGTGTGTGTGTGTGTGTGTGAGAGAGAGAGAGAGAGAGATGGAACAAGGTCATCAACTAGATATAATGTTTTTATTATTAGTTGTTTACATGAATGAAATAAGATAACATTTTAAACATTTTAAACATTAATCAGGTCAAAAGAAAACAGAGTTCAGTTCTCAACATGCTCAAAGCCTGTAAACGATGCTACATTGTAATTACATGTAAAGAAAAAAAATCAAACTAAACAAACAATTAAGTTAAATATACGTAACAATGATTTTCATTATTATTGTTACTAACATCATATATTTATTTTTTATTTTTTTATTTCATGTTGTGTACTTTGTTTAAATTCTGCGAGTTAAGTTATATTTAAAACAAAAACTTTTATATGCTGTTTTCTAACCTGGACTGGAACACTTTACAGCTGAAAGTACTTCCGCAGGCCATAGTCCAGTTAAAATATGCAACAAGGAAGGGAATAGTGCTAAATACTGCAAGTGAGTATTCAGTTGCCTATTGAAATTATTTGGTTGTGTTTTTAACATGTAACCCGATTGAATGACTGCATCCTTGTTTGATTGGTGGTAGACGAGGAAATATTGCATTACCCACAGAATCAAAATTGTGGCGCATGGCAAAACGTACTAGTCTTACCGGCCTGAACACTATCATAAACATCAGATATGAATCCAGATTTATAAATACCGATTACGAAGATTTAATCGAATTACTTAAAAAATCTAGTAGAGAAACCATGTTACATAAAGGACACAGAAATCGTACAAATAAACTCGCAAAGGCTTTTATTTATTTTATTTCGTAGACATAAATAAATGACAATGTTCATCCAGTATGAATGTTGCCGGTATTTTGAAAGAACATACCCTCGATAAATGCATTGGACACATTTATATCATTGAGTTTAAGTTTATTAGTAATAGGAACAGCAATGGAATTTCTAGTGATAGTAGTACTAGTAGTAGTAATTGTCGACATGGTCAAATTGATGCACGTAACACATTAATACAAACCTGCCAAATGAGCGTACAGCAAACTCCATTCGTCTTAGGAATAGAATAAAGAACATTGAGAAAAGTTTAAACTTAGAATATGAAACATAAAACAGTTCTCAGCAAGGTGAAGAATTTCATCAGTTTATTGGATATGGCTAATATGTCTACGATTCCATTCTTTTTGGCATTATCAGTCTTAATGTAAATAGTTCAAGTGAAACATGGGCATTGCATAATTCACAACTATGCATAATGTAACTAAATGGCTTGTCATGAATACTTATGTCGTTGAAGCATATTTGCAACTTTACAGATATACTTACAGCTGGCTAGCTAGTTAGCTAGATATATTGATACGTTCAATCATGTATGTGCGTTTCCATTTCCTGCCAGCAATAAGACACCGATAATAATACTTTTTACACTGGCAATATTTATCTAGTGATTCATTTAATTAATTTTGTAGTGGTTGTTTGGTTGACTTGTTCATTCATTTCTACATTCCAGACGCATACGGCTACTGGTGAAGATGCAGAAGACAAAAACAGAATAAAATTTCAGTATTGTAGTTATAAAAGTTCAAAGGTGATATATCGTGTTTGCTTTCTATTTCTTTTGGGAATTCTTGTGTATGTCCTAAGATAAAGGGGAAACTAAACATTACATGGTCGCAATGGTACATGGTACACAAATGTTCATCACTGTGTATTGTTTACAAGTTATACTTAACGTATATAACATAATTCAATCCAAGTGTGAGTTCTCTTTTTGGACTAAATGAGTAACACAAAACACAGAGTGATGAATGATTGGAATTTATAAAAATGAAATACTAGACATATATGTGAATATAAAACAAATACACTAATTTTAACACTGCTATCATACAATTGATGCAATTTATCCTGAAAACACTCATGAAATGATAAAGAAAAAATACAAAAATATGAGTCATTGGTCTTTATCCTTAAACAAATATACAATGAAATTTCTTAAAATAATAAGACACATAATAATGAATAATACTCAAAATGTTATTACTATTATTTCGACTAAGCGATACTGCGTTCAATTAAATCCACAAATTGATGAACACAAATTACTGCAAACTGGAATAGTCATTCACTTGACAAACTCTCTCTCTCTCTACAGTTTATTGAATACATTAACTGGAACTCTGCAGTTTTGCTAGATTCATTTCTTATTGATCCACGTTCAGATACATCACGGATCCATTATATGTATTCATTCATATACGTACATGTATTCATACACATACACGTAGACGACATGGTGCAATACAGATAGCTACATCCAATCCAAACCCTAATAGCTATAGTCAGCTCTCATCGGACACTGAATCTCCAATACGATATCGTCAGTTCCAAAAAGACTGCATTATTCCAATAATGTCCAATAAATTCCACCAGGCTTAATTAATGTCAATTAGGCTCCCATAGTGTCCACTAAGCTCCCATAATGTCCACTATCCAATAGGCTACAATATGCTCACATAGTCTGCAATAGTATCCAACAGGGTACAATAGGATCACATTGTCTACTATAAGATTCAACAGGCTACAATAGGATCACATAGTCTACAATAGGATGCAACAGGCTACAATAGAATCACATAGTCTACAATAGTATCCAACAGGCTACAACAGGATCATACAGGCTACATTAAAATTTAAAAGGCTACAATAGGAAATAGGATAACATATTCTGCAATAGTATCCAACTGGCTAAAATAGGATCACATAGTCTACAATAGGATCAAAAACGCTACAATAGGATCCAACAGGCTACAATAGGATCCAACAGGCTACAATAGAATCACATATTCTACAATAGTATCCAACAGGCTACAATAGGATCCAACAGGCTACAATGGGATCACATAGTCTGCAATAGTATCCATCTGGCTACAATAAAATCACATAGTCTATTATAGGATCCGGAAGGCTACAATAGGATCCCATAATCACAACAGGCTGAAACAATACCAAACTATTTATTCCTAAAATGGTAATAACAAAGCAAGCAGTGTAACAAAGCTTTATCACCCGATATAACAAAACCGAGAAAAGTTTTCCTAAATCAAATAAAACAAAGCTTTGATACTTACCCCTATGGCCTGATATGATGGTGGAATGTTTGCCCACCACTGACTAAGTCCAAATGACTTGTGTCTCAGTTCACACTATATCAAGATTAATTCACTTTACTTGGAGCAGAGCGATACACCCCTGGCAACGTTGTACGCCTGTACAATGTATAAGGTGAAAAATGGATTCAAGGTAAAATAAAGTTATTTATAGCCTTATTGTGTGAAAAGGTATAAATGATGAAAAATACCTCAATATTGATATTCACTGATTTGTTCCTTGACTGTTTGGTTTGTGTATTATGTGCCAATTCTCTCTCTCTCTCTCTCTCTCTCTCTCTCTCTCTCTCTCTCTCTCTCTCTCTCTCTCTCTCTCTCTCTCTCTCTCTCTCTACGTATTAATCAGAAGTCGGGGTGGATGTAGTTTACTTTTTGTTCATGTTTTATTTCGGGGGACCAGCAGGAGGGGGTTAACCAACCAGGAGGTGGCCAAACATATGTGAAAAAAATGACGCAAAAACCGTTGAAATGACCAAAACATGGTAAAGCAAACTTCATATGACACATCATGATGTGTTATTATGTGCCTTAAAATGTGAATATTTCATTAAAGTTTTTACTCACAATATGAACAGCATAGCAAAGAAGGGTGATGTGATATGATTATGAATTTTAACGTAGCTTTAACAATGTTTCAGTCATATCGCTACGATGTCTGCAATGTGGCAGTTTATCGTGATGTCTAGCACTGGGGCATCATACCGCTGACATGTATCATGATGTCAAATCCAGTCACATTATCCTGATACCAGGCCGACAAGTACTAACACTAATCTCTTAATGCAAATCGCCTAGCGAGGCAGCTGTTAGTACCATTTTTGTAAGTCTTTGGGATGACTCGACCGGGGAACAAACCCACGACTTCCAGCATCCGATGCGGACGCTCTAACCACTAGGCTATCGGAGTAGTTAGCAAAGAAGGGTTAATCGACCAAGTGAAAAAAACGCAAAATATACGAGGCCTTATTTCAGTAAGCAGTCGTTGATAGAAAAATGTGTTGTCCTCGCTATTTAATTTTGTGGCTTTATTATTTTTCATGAATTGAACAAGGTTGATTTGTTTAGTCGCCTGATGACCAAATAAAAGTATTTTTTATAAAATTTTTATTGGCATGTTTTGCTTTTATGCTTTAATACCTTTGTTATCATAATTGTTTTGATGCTTTTATCAGTATTTTTGCTCTAATGCTTTGATGACTGTATTATAATTTTCGATAAAATAACTTCTAGGCTTGTCAGTTACACGCTCTACGGAAGAATATTTACTAAGTATTGATAATTACCTTACGCCTACTCACCCTTTGACGAAATCCACATGGTATAAAACCGCATTCCCTGTCGGGGTTGAGGATAACGATACATTATTAGTGACTGCCAGGTTAACTTTCGAGCTAGTCTGAAGCCCCTACCATACTAAGTTTAGGACTATCCCGCCAGAAACATAATGATTCCGGAGTTTGAACCCACAAAGCAGACCAATAATAGTTCGGTAATATAACGCCATTACCACAACTAGACGATACAGCGTTGAGAAATATGCGTTAAACATAATATAAACACATACTTATGATAACTCAATAACGCTTTAGATAATTTTTAACTATCCCGTCGTCTAAAATTTTCATTTGAAATAAATACATAAGTAGCTTTATTTACAATAAATAAATAATATATCTAAATTTGTACTACGCATATTGCTGAGTGGATGAATAATTCTTACCTGTAGTCAATAGGTAGATTTGGTAAAGCAAAACAATGCTATCATCATACTCAAGAATGTTCCTAAACATCCTACTACTAAAGGGACGTTTTCACAGAGAATATATCAGCATATTATATTTGTGAACAGACAGATATACAAAAGTAGCAAACATTAAACGTTCACACGCATTTAAATCAGATGATTTTTTATCAAGTAGTCTAGCATTTTAAAATTTGTTTAGTATAACAGGTATAGATTCCTCCAACTAGTATACAATTATTGAATTTTACCTTATTAAGTCCAAGAGAGTTACTAATAGCGCAAAGTTATTTAGCTCACTAAGACACGTGACCTCATATGAGAAACCTTGCGTGTTATTATTAACGGATAGGTCTATCTGAGGCAATCAGACACGTGACCAATGCAATGTCTAAAGTTTGAGTCTAATTGAGATAGCGGCAATTCGCTTCAGCTGAAAAATACGTTACTTTTCTATAATATAGTAAAAACTTGTTAATCTGCTTACTTAGTGATCATTAATTAAATTGATGTTATATTAGTAATGATCAATAATTTTGCGATTACCATGGAATATTCTATGCAAAATCAGCTGGAAAAAGAATAGATGCAATTTTAAGAAGTATCTTCTTTAAGGACAATCGATTACATGGCTTGTGTGTTAGATCAAACGTTTGACAAATTCGAATTTGCTTGAACCTATCAGTCCATCAATCAACAAAATACGATGCCTACCAATTTAAACGATTTAACATTTCTTTAATGACTTTGAGAGAAGAAAATTTGGTAGCTATAGTGGACCTGTTCGGACTTTTAAAAATAACATAGACAAGTAAATCTATTTTATACCTTTCAGGACAAGTTGATTAAGTGATGAAGATAGCAATTTGAAACCCAATAAAAAGATGGCTGCTAAATGGTTAGATCAATTGCTTTTTTGCAAAGCAAATCGATCAAAATGCAATACAAGTAAATCACTGAACAATAGTTTGGATGAATATGTTAAGTCCAAGGATTTTTAGGACACTATAAAGTTCTTTGAGTCCCTAAACTATTGAGAGTTTCTAATTAGTCCACACTGAATAGCTTTTCATTCCTGTCGATATCTATGAGGGTATTGTTGTTCTGAATTTGGATTTCCTCTGTGTCGGGATGTACTGTTATTTTGGTTCACATGGCTTTAAATGTTATACTTTTTTCTTGGTGCTTTATGTCTACCTTTTCTGGAAACATTACAAATGGCTTTGACAAGGCCACCATTTCTTGCGTCCAAGCATCGAAGCCAGGACATTTCCAGTCACATTCATCTTTCCAATGAGGGTGTAGGTCACATGATACACACATCTTATGTCTTTAATGTCGATACAATTTTATAATTTTATCTTTTCATCACATAGAGGTTGAGAAATATCGATAAGAAAGAGCCATACCTTTAACGGAATGCGTGTCTCGAGCACATTTAAAGTAACAAATGTCTGCGTGCGTACTTTTCGTAAATAGTCCACAGCAAAAATCTGCTAGTAAACGCAATACAGGAAACCTTGTTACTAAGACGCACACCAAATGGCATCATAACTTAAAAGTAAACAATTTTTGTAAAAAGTTTTGATAATCTTCTAAAATCTGAATAGAGCTATTGATTAGATTCCATTGCATCCTTTGCAAACTACCGATAAAAGACGGGGCATGGCATCAAACTATTATACCAACATTAAGCAAATTATGAATCTCTTCTAAATCTTCTAGCAAACTTGCAATTGAACGATGTAGAGACTAATTTATGGCCACCACCAATGAGAGTAACCTTCAAGAAAGGCAGCGAAACCTTTTATGTAAATGGTTTAAAGAGAAACCCTTTGAAAAACAAAAGCCCTGATCAGAGAAATCTTATTACTATGTTCATTTTTTCACTTTCCTCTTGTGAACTTTTTGACACAAAAGATCAAGAGTCACAAATTGGTATTTTACACTTGCAACCCCCATCAAATCTTCTCTTGTAATTCGCTTGGTAATTCTTGAATATTACTTTTCAATTTTGCCTTCAATTCTCATTCTGATTTAGAAAATTTTGTTGTCCAACATTTTACTCTTATATAATAGGGGGAGAGAATGAATAGATGCTTTTGATTGGACAAACGCATCAACGTATCACTCCACAATATTCTTTTATTTCGTCATGAAATATCTATCAAATATGATGCCAAGTAAAATTTCTTGCACATGTGATGTCATATATTACTCTAAGAAAACCATTTAATTTAAAAGCTTAAACAATATATGACTGGTTCTGTTTTTATAAACGATAAGGTTGTTGTTGTGGGATTTAACGCGATTTTTTTAAACACGCGATAGGCTATATATGGCGGTCAATATTAATGGTGGAGAAAGAAACCGGGTAATCACCGGAAAGAACCATCTCTCCACGAGAAGCTACTGGCAAGCTCTCTCACATATCCACATTCGCCGAATCTTAGACTCGAACCCACGCAGAAAGAATTGAAATGGCAGTGTTCTGTAACAGACAGCGCTTTAGACCATTCGGCCACTCGGGGATCCAGGATACGATAAGGTAAGTTGACCGATATAAAAAATGGACGTTGTTTTGCCATTGGCCCTGTCGGATTGAAATAAAGCATTTAATAAGAAGAAAAAGCATCATTAGCGTTTTTAATTCAAATTCCATTGTAGTCACAACGATTAATTTAGTTAATTTTCCTGCTTTTGTTTTGTTTCCTATTTTTTGCTCCAATGAAAATTTAATGTTTGCATGCAATAAGAGGGTCGATAGGTAAATATAAATGCACATTTGTTTCTTTAGCATAATTTTTATATAGCGACAAATATGGAAAAGAGAAAACTCTCGATCTTTGAGAGTATAGTTGAGTATACGCTTATAAAAGATATGCACCTCGTGTGTGCAAGTTCGCAATCGTTATGTCAATATCAAACTCAGCATTCATTATTGCCCTGTGGTATTTTCATATGATCTTTTAAATGTTCCTTTGCATTTGAATACATACAAGAATGCATTCTTCGAATAGCTGTAAGAATTATATGCTTGCGTAGCTCTTTCAACTGAAAGGGAGGTGGAGGGAAAAGCCAAATACTTTCAAGTTGTATGCAACTCAAAATATCTGAATCAGCAAAGTCCTTTTGACGACCAATCAAATTGGAGAAATCAAGTATGCTATGAGGATGCAAATGAAGTTCGAATACGGCGAGCAGGATCAGTTTGAGAAATAAAAGTTTAGTGCATCATGACGAGTGTCAATGTTGTGGACATGAAAATAAAATAAAAGTATATACTGCAGCATTCGGTAACGATATGACTAATCTTAAAATAGAGCAGTAGAGAAGGTAAACAGATAACTTGTCTGAGACCTTATTGATAAACAATAAGCCTTCCTACAAAGGCTAAAAAACAAGGTAGGTAGCTTGAAAACAAAACCTCTAACCCTGACTCTGTCAGGCCATATGATTTATCTAAAGTTAGCTTATCTCATTGCTTTATTTCCGACACTTTGTTTTTGTTTTTAGGTATGTTGATATTATGCGCTGGTCACTCAGTATTGGCTGCTATAAATTAACCCAAAATTTTATCCATTCCTATATGTTATCTGGATCTTGGGTCATATAGATTTATTGTAATAAATACTAAAGGAACAGATTGTGCTTTTGAAATAAAGGTTTTAAATTTAATCATGTTCAGGTCCCCTGAAAAGCAAGTATAATAAATATTATGTAAAGTATTAATATCTACTCCATTAAACACAACCGAAATAGTACAGTTATTCTTGATCATCCAATGTATTTGTGGATATTTTTCTCTAACATAAAACACGTAAGTATTTTAATGTCTACCTAGAGAACATATTATAGCTAGATTGGATTGTCTGTCCAGAATCACGTCATCATATTCTACGAAATTATTAATTAATCCATTTAATTCATCTACAGATGGGACGTCATCAATATCGGCGATTAATCAACAATATCATTCCCGTCTTCGCTCAATAACTTTGCAGTTTGATTAAAATCTTTAAATATTCCCAAGCATGTTTGATCATCTACAGATGTTTCCACTAAATATAATTTTTCCCACTTCATCGACCTCATTATTATATTAAGTAACAATTGTGTTTTGCCAGATCAGATGTATCTCATATAATCATTCTGATATTCATAAGCATT